GTGCCTTGATTAAGCCTGGTGGGAATCACTGACATCCCCATGAAGATGATGCTGCAGGCCCTCGGCACCACGGCCTGGCGGCGCCCGCGCAAGGCTGGCCCGGAAGAGTTGAATCAACGTTTTCAGGGACGGGTTGGAGGCTTTGGGGAGGGCCATCCCCTCTAAACCTAAAACCTAATCCAAAATCTCAATACCTAGATGTGAGCCTCTTGCTTGCTCCTGAAGTTCTTCTGTCCACCATGATCAACATCAGGATCGTCGTCGTCAGGGTTGTCATGGCCATCATAGTCATCAGAGACGGTGATGATGATTATGACGAGACGATGACGATGGTGATGATGATGATGATGATGATGACCATAGTTGCCGTGATGACCTCAATGACGACGGCCATTGTTGTACGCGCGGTTTCAATCGACTTGACTTGAGGGAGGACTTCCCAACGGCATTCTCACAACCAACGTGTGCAGATTCCAGAACGCGAGGTGGTGAGCATTTCAGACGCGGAGGACGTCGCAGCTGGAGACGCTCAGATGGCATTTAGTACTAAGTAAATGTCCGCAGACTGGCCCAGTGCCAAGAATAAGGCAGATTGCTCAGTCACGAGTTACACCTCCGGGTGAAGACCTTTGTTGGTAAGAGTCTCTGTTGCTCTCGAGTTGAAAGCCGGTCCTCCGACTAGATTGACGAGATTTCGAAGTCCGACTTAAGCAGGGGAGCCTCTGTCGAAGGTGAACTGTGGTGATGGTGGCGATGACGATGTCACCTTGTGCGGTAGGGACGCTTCTGTGCTTCATCATCTTGCTCTTAAATACTTCTGGTAGATGAGGCGCTCAGGCCATGACTCTCAGAGTCTCGTATCACTGAGCTGTCGGTTGTGTGGCAGCTCGGGCGCGCCATGGGGGTTATTGCGTATGGAACCCTCAACCCTCGACCTGAAGCTCCTGCCTCCGAGAAGTCCCACAAGGACAGCCACGTTGCCGTCGTGTGCCGGCATGGCGGTACGCGTTTTGGCAGAACTGTCTCGGACAGCGAAGCTGTTTATGGTCTTAGGGATTGCCCTTCGTTTCAGCCCCAGTTAGGACATCGGGGTCGAAAGGTTTCGGATTTTGAGTGTTTAGGTTGCAGGGTTTCAGGTCATGGCCTCTTCTTCGGGCGCCGAGTGTTCAGAAGCCTATCGCTACCACTCGAACCCCACATTCCTGTGCTGAATCCGGAACTGGAGCCCTGTGCAGTAGGATTCATGCCGCAATCTAAATCCCAAGCCTGGGACTGGAATCCTTGAAGGCCTCCAGCCCAAGCCCTCAAGCCTAAATACCGCGACCTCCAACCCCAAACAAAGCCCAAGCCCTGAAGTCTCAGATACCTTTGGGGCGAGAACGTCCATGGCCAGTGTGCCCGGGATCCGGTGGGCTCAGGCACCGGCGATTGAGAGAAGTGCTGCTGTGGCTTCACAGCCAGTGCAGGAGGTTAAGGCGGTTTGAGGTTTACATCGTTATAAGCTATAAGCTATAAATGAGTGAGAACAAAGGCGGCGAATATGGGAGAGTGCCTCTGGTCTTGCCTTAAAACATGATCATTGCTCTTCGGGCTTTCGGGGGGAGAGAGCTTAGGGTGCTCAGACGCTGCTTCGGCTCAGCAGAACTCCGGAACTGTCAAGCCGCACGCGCCGAATCTTGGTTTAGGACACCCCCAAGCCCAACGCGAAATTGTTAAAGGCCGTGTTACGGTCCCTCGAGGTCTTGGGTCAGCTTCTGTAGCTTACGCTTGTTTGATGGTCCTCTTGTTCCAAAACCGTGGCCCCTCGAAGCGCCCTTTCCTTTTCTTTCCTGTGAACTGTGAGCCCGACGGTGCTTGTAGGCCAAGAAACCTCCAACAATTGAGTTACCCTTCCGATTCACCAATACTTTTGTTGTCACCATTGCTTTGACTACCATTATTACTCGTCGCTCTTCTGTGATTACTTCGCAATTACTTCTTCTTAACAGCTTAGCACAACTCTTCCCGGTGTCACGGTTGTTTTGTGACTATTCTGGCTACGTTGGGTTGGCTGTAAGTACCATGATTGTGCAGAGACCGCGAGCCCTCACTAGGCTTGCGAGGATCCCGCCACCGGAGCGGCGAGGCTACTGGCCCTTAACAGAAGAGGCACAAATTGGGTTTAGGGTTTAGGGATTAGGGGCATAATAAATCTGCGTAAGCATGAGGCCTTCGGGTCTGTGTGGTTCGCAGCTTGTGGTTTGACTTCTTGCAATCCCCGAACCGGCGACATCATCTCAAGTTCAAGGGTGCTTTTTTGCATAGAGTATAGGGTTCAATGTTGAGAAGTTTAGGCATTTACAGGCAGGCGTAGCCCGGGGAGTTTCTCAGCCCCCGTTTCAGGCCCCGTACTGTAGTAACTTCCAGTGACGAACCTAGTTTAAACAGCTTCTGACCATCATGCACTTTAGTCGTGTTTTCCTTCGTAGCTTGTCCGGAGCCTCTGAACTGTTCCACTTCCAGCATGTCCAACGAATCCAACGCGGTACGGCCTTGTGCAACTCGAGGTTCGGCATTTGGTGCCGAGCCCGGCACGCGCGGGATTCGCCCTCGCCGCGTGCGACGCTCGCCGGGTGGCTTGCGGCAGGCGGGGATCAACAAGGGGGGCGGATGTATTATATATGATTATATATGATCCCGGTTCTCGGTTCGCCGACCCTCCCCCCCCTCGCACGTCCGGGTCCATACATGCCGAATCCCTGCGACGGTGTGCACTTCTCGCGCATGGCGGCTCCAAAACCGTCAACTGTCGCGAGAATCTCGTCCGAACACCCGATCCTTGTGACAGTGGACACTTTCCAACCACGACTCCGAGATGAGGGTTTTTAAATGCAACCGTCACGAGGATCGCGTTCCTGACGGCCCGATTCCTGTGACAGTTGACCCAAGAAAGGAACCCAAACCCGAACCACACCACACCACAGGGGGGAGGTGAGGTACCCCAAGCAGACCCAAACCCCGAACCACACCACACCACAGGCCACAGGGGGCAGGAGAACGCCACATGGGGGCGAGGGGTACGGGGGCGTGAATAGGGGGAGGGGGGGACGGCCGAGCCGAGCCGGGATCATGTATGTATGTATGTATGTACATATTTTAAATATATATATATACATTATATATATATAAATATAAATATAAATATAAATATAAATATAAATATAAATATAAATATAAATATAAATATAAACATAAATATAAATATAAATATATATNNTCTATATCTATCTCTATGTCTATATCAATATCTATACTATATCTATATCTATTTATCTATAGCAATCTAGTAGCTCGGCTCGGCATAAGGAAAGAAACATCCCCATTGTTGTGGCCAACAATCTCCGCCAATGCAGAATCGCGCCAAATCGTACTGAGCAGCCTTGTGCCTTGTAGACACCCTGTTGCTGTAGAAGGTCTCACCATCCCAACAATAACATCGACCAAAACCCAACAGCAACAGCAACAGCAACAG